TTGTCTTTTCATTAATTGAGAAATCATCATTTTGGAAGATTCAGCACACAAGCTCCATTTTGGCTACAAGACATCTCTCGGCTCTCTCCAGGAGAGAAGAAGGAAGAAAGGAAAAAATTTTCCCTCCCTCTCTCGGCTAGCTCTTAACAGACGAGAACAAAAACCAAACAAAAGAAAAAAAACTACTTCCTCAATCTCCTCTCTCGGCTCTCACGGACAGAGGACAAGAAAAAAAAGAGAGACTCCACCCTTTTGGCTCAATTTGCTCTCTCGGCTCTCTCCCTCATCAGACAAGAGGAACAAAAAAAAAAAAAGGGGGCTCCCTCTACACATTTTCTTCCACAAAATCCAAACACATTTGCACACAACAAGGCAGCAATCGGTTGGATTGGAGCTTGGCAATTTCATCAAAAATCTTGGCAAAGGGACCAAACTCTTCATTGAGGTATTTATCTCCCTTTTTTCCAGCTTTTCTTTTTTAATTAACTAGATTGAATGTATGTGTGGTTACTTTTTTTATTGCTTATTTTTGCTGGTTTTTGTTGGTGTTGTATGGATGAAATTTTGGGATGGGTCATGAACAAAATTAGGAAAAAAAGAAACGGTGCTGTGAATGCATGCCAAATGTTTGAAAAAGGTTTGAATGAAAAAATGAATCAAAGGAGTGAATTTGGTGTGTATGTTTTGCTTAAATGGATGACCATTAGCTAGCAAAGATCTGAAAATGCTTGGTTATCCAAAATTTTGGGAGTTTTTGAGCCTTCAAAGCATTAGAATAATTTTCTTCATTTTTGGGGCTGCTTTGACTTAATGCTTTATTTTGTTGTTGTTTATTTGTCAAACTAAGATTATAGTTGTAATGTAGAAGTTATCAGGAGGGTTTTGGCATAATTTTTATGATTTTTGGTGAAGATGTGAAGGTTTTAAAAAATAAAAAACTGAACTGATTTCTTGCATTTTGACCACTTTCGACTCATTTTTTGTAAAAACTAACTCCGGAAATGGAATTTACGCGAAAAATCGAGTGAGGGGGTGTATTTTGAGAAAATTTGGTGACCGGAGAGATCGCCGGCGGCGGTCCGGTGGTGGCGCCGCCGGAGGCAACCATGGCCGCCAGCAGGGAGAAGCTTCAGCTTCTCGGTGGAAGAAGAAGAAAGAAAAGAGGAAGAAGAGAAGAAAGAAAAGAAAAGAAAGAAAAGAAAGAAAGAAAAAAAAGGATTTGGGCTGATGTTTATTTTTCTGATGGGCCAAGAGTTAGTTTTGGTTGGGTTTTGAAAATGGGCTTTGGTTTATTTTTCTTTTGGGTTTCGGTTGGGTTAGAAGGTCAGAGCCCATGCCTTTATTTTGGTTGGGTTTGAGTGATAGAAGACGGGTTGGCCTTGTGTTTTGGCTTGGACTTTCGGTTGGGCTTAGGTAGTGTCCGGCCCAAGGAAATAAAATGATGGCATGGTGGCCCATTTCTTAAGAATATCAGAAACCGATTTTTGCATTTTAGCCCCTGGTCTTTGGAGTAGTTTCACTACGGCCCAGAACATTTTAAATTCCTTTCATCTAGGTCCTTAATTTAATTGCACTTTGGTCCTGGAATTTTATCTTTCATTTAATTTTGACCCCTGAACTTTGGAAAAATATAATTTTTGTCCCCAAAAGTTTTTTTAAATTTTCTCAATTCAGTCCCTGATAAATTTTGACTCTCTTTATTATGATTGTTTCTTTTCTTTAATAGTTAATTATGCTACTTTTGAATATACTTAACTTGGAATTTTTAGATTTGCTTAAAATTTCTTTACGCCTGACATATTAGTGTGAATTTAGTACTTGTATTATTATTTTCTTTTTCAATTAAATTGGTGCTATGATCCTTTTGTTCATTGTGAGTATAATTAGGACAATTTGACTCCATTTAGTCACCACTTCAAACGGGAGGTACTCCTATTTTATTATTTCAATGTCAATTACGTGCTCTTATGTGCTCTTATGTGTTCCTATGTGTTTATATATCTTTATATGCTTTATTTATTTGATTTAAATATTCATTCAAATTTTCTTATATATGTTTTAGTTAGTTTTTATAATGATTCGAGAGGTATTTAAATACCTCAAAAATGTAATAGATAGGATAATTAGATTTGTTTTATTATATTTTTCCCTCGTAGATTGTAGTTAGGCGCTCGCCGATGTAATAGATAGGTTGCGTGTTTATGTGGCTTATGTGTTAAGTGTTTTATCCGCTTTTCTTAGGATTTTGGCATCTAGATATTATGCTTACGTGTTATGTGTTACGTGCTCTTATGTGTTTATTTGTTTTAATTTATGCTTTATTTGCTTCACTATGAATTGTTAATGCATGACGTCACCACACTAGTCCAACGCTAGTTGTGGCTCCTCCCTACGCTTATTGGCTAGTCCAACGCTAGACCATTTAGGTTGTCTTGCGCTAGATTCATCTTTGTGTGCTATTCACTACATTTTCATGCATGTTTTTATTTTTAGGATCTTTTCTCATTTGTATGATATTCCCTATTATATTATCCCCTACCCGCTATAGGTGCTAATCATGTCATTTAGAATTGCATCTCATTTAAGCTAGTACATTTGCTTGTTCATATTAGGATAATTATTTTTCAAACATGGAAAATGGGTGATTATAAATTTTTAGTTTAAATACCCTATTAATCCATGTATAAGAAAATTATGTCACGAGTTTTTTCGACTCCCGTACCCTTTATGTGGCATTCCCTTTTTCTTTGAGCACTTATATATATGTATATAATTTAATTTCTTTTCTTTTATTTTATTTCCTTTTTCATCATTTGCATCCTCGTGACACCTTCAAGGATTCATTTTGGCCTTCGCAATAAATGTGATTGGTTCAATTAAACCCTTGAATGAATATTTTGTCCCTTTCGATATTTTATTTTTGCATTCATGTAGAAAACATTCAAATGTGATAAATTAAGGGTTAGATTAGGAAAATTTTGACTAAACCTCGCAACTAGCTTAGACTAGGTTGAAAGGGTGCCTTAGGTTTGAGTCAATTGAACCTTTGCCTTCCCTTTCTTCAACCGTGACTCCCGAACTCATTTTCTCTTGTTTTCAAAGACCTGGAGTTGTCAAAAAGGGTTTTATTTTATTTTACTTTATTTTTGGGTGACTTGGTACACCCAAACTCAATACCAAGTGGCGACTCCTATTTTTTCTTAAAAACCCTTTTTAGACTAAATTTTGGACCCAAATTGTCGCATTTTTCAAAGTTCCATTCTAGGTCCTTTTTCATTTATTATTAATAAATCACATCTTTTTATAAACACCTCCTTCTTCTTTATTTTTTTCCATCGCGAAAAAATGGGGCGCGACAATATATTGTCTAATGATGAGAAGTGGGGAGGTAGTAGAAGGCCAGAAAGAAGTTTTCAAACATTCAGGGACTTTGTTAACAATAATCAACTTATTGACATTGGGTTTGAAGGAATTCCATGGACATGGTCAAATTGAGAAAAGATTGAGAAATTGAGAAGAGGGAATTCCATGGATTGACATTGGGTTTGAAGGAATTCCATGGACATGGACATTGGGAAGAGGGGAAGGAAATTGAGAAAAGATTGGATAGTCTTGTGTAATAGATAATGGAGGAGAGAAAATGAGAACGCTAAATGCCTGCATATCCAGAATGATGCCTCCGACTATACTATGCTGCTGTTGGATACTGATTCAAAGGGTAGCAAGTAGAAAGGGAGGTTTTTCTTTGACAGGAACTGCGTAAAATATAAAGAAGTAGGTGAACTCATTAGCAGGGTATAGGGAAAACAACAGCATGGCTCAAGATTTTTTAAACTACACCAAAAGATAAAGAGCTATAGAGTAGCTCTCTTGAACTGGAATAGGCAGAGAAATACTAATGCAAAAAAAGAGATTAAGGAGCTGAAGAAAAAACTTGTAAAAGTTCAGGGTGATGAGTATGCCAATAAGAATGGAAGGGTGAGAGAGCTTAAAAAGAAACTGGAAGAGGCTTATAAGAGAAATGAGGTGTTTTAGGGGCAGAAAGCGAGAATTAAATGGTTGAAGGAATGTGATAAGAATACAAAATACTTTTATGCAAGTGTTGCAGAGAGAAAAAGAAGGAATAATATCTCAAGTCTTTAGAAGGGTGATGGAACTTGGTATGAGTCAGAACAAGAAATTGAGGATGAAATTAATGGTTATTTTCAGAAGCTTTTCAGTTCTAATAACTCTCAGTTGGTTGACTCAATACTGAGTGGAATTCCCCTAGTGATCACAGACTAAATGAATGCAATGCTGGTTAGACCTGTATCAGAAATGGAAGTCAAAAAAGCTATCTTTTCACTGCACCCAAACAAAGTCCCGGGCCTGATGGTATAACTCCTGTTTTCTTCCAACAATTCTGGAATGTGATAAAAGATGACTTGATAAATGTCATATCCAGTTTCTTTCATTCTGGTCAGTTATTGAGGGTTGTCAATGAAACTATCATTACTCTTATCCCTAAAATAGTCCCTGTGTTAGTGTTTCAGTTTAGACCAATTAGTTTGTGTAATGTAGTCTATAGGATCATATCTAAAATCCTAGTCAACAGACTAAAGCCTCTACTCAAGCTTTGTATTTGCCAAAACCAATCTGCTTTTATTTCAGGAAGACAAATCATTGATAATGTTGTTATTGTTCATGAATTCATTCACTGTTTAAATAACAAAAGATGTGGATCTAATGCTTTTATGGCCTTGAAACTTGATATGTCTAAATCTTATGATAGAGTTGAGTGGCTTTTTATGCAAAAAATTATGAAAAAATAGGTTTTTGTAAAAAATGGATAGATTGGATTCTGAAGTGTATGTCATCTGTTGTTTACTCCTTTAATTTGAATGGGAAAAAAAGAGGTCTGGTTACACCTACAAGGGGAATTAGGCAAGAAGATCCTTTATCTATCTCCATACATATTTTTACTAGTCTATGAGGGATTATTCAGTTTACTTAAGAGAGCTATGTCTAGTCAGGAAATCTCTGGACTTAAGATTGCTCAGCATAGTCCAACATTGTCTCACCTCTTTTTTGCAGATAATACATTGATTTTCTACAAAGCTAACAAAGAAGAAGCAGATAAAGTGATGAAGCTATGGAAGATGTATGGGAAAGCTTTAGGACAAGTTATAAATGCTGAGAAGTCATCTGTATTTTTTAGTACGAATACTGGAGATAAAGTGAAGGTAGAAATATTGGATATCTTGGGAGGCATGAAGGAAGCTAGGCAAAGCAAATATCTTGGCCTTCCATTGGTTATAGGAAGACCAAAAAAACAAGTCTTCAACTACATTAGGGAGCGTGTCATCAACAGGATGTGTGGATGGAAGGAGAGACTACTGAGTAATGCTGGTAAAGAGGTCCTTTTAAAATCTGTGATTTTAGCTCTACCTGCTTATGCTATGAGTTGCTGCAAACTGCCAAAAGGTTTATGTATGGATATTTGTAAAGAAATGGCAAAGTTTTGGTGGGGTGATAGTAAGAAAAATAGGAAAATTCATTGGGTGGAGTAGAGAAAGTTATCTGAGATTAAAGGGAAGAGAGGTTTGGATTTTAGAGATCTCCAGCAATTCAATATTACTATGCCTGCTAAGCAACTATGGAGGATCTTGACAAGGCCAAATCTTTTAGTTAGCAGGATTGTTAGGGGAGGTATTTTAGAGGATCTTCCATTTGAAAAATAAAAATTAATGCTGGGGATTCCTAGATATGGAAAAGCATTCTAAGTGCAAGAGAGCTATTGGAAGAAGGGGTGAGGAAGAGAGTGGGGAATGGCCAGCGGATTGATATATGGAAAGATAAGTGGTTACTAGATTTGGAAGTTGGTAAGATAAGATCGTAAGATAAGATTGAGAAAACCTCAACATTGTCATGTGCAAAGAGTCCATGAGTTGATTTCTGAAGGGACTTGGAATAAGGAATTACTGAGAGAGATTTTTGATGGGGAAAACTATCAAAGAATAACTAATATTCCAATAAGTGAGTATGGTGATAAGGATAGACTAATATGGATGTTCTCTAAATTAGGGGAGTATACTGTGAAAACTGGCTATGTGGTGGCTAAAGAGTTGCAGAGAAAAGGAAGAAGGGAAAGTCAGCAACAAGGGAGTAGTAGCAGGAATGATGCTAATTCAGGGGTGTGGAGATTCTTATGAAGCCTGAACGTAAAGCATAAGTTAAAACATTTTGTATGGAAATGTCTTCAGAGAATCTTGCCAGTGAATGAAATAATTAGGAGAAGGGTTGGACAAGGAAATGATAAGTGTTGTTGCTGTGAAAAAAGGATAGAAACTCTTGAACACATGTTCTTTTTCTGTAAGCATGCAGAGCTAATTTGGAAGGCTGCTCCAATTAGCTGGGATGGGTTAAAGAAATATAGATATAGCTTTTGGCATTGGTGGAGTAGATTTGGAAATCCAGGAACCAAATACAATTTAATAGGGAAGGGAGATGTCCAGGCATGACAATTAATAAGGCAATACAAGAATGGCTAGAATTCCATAATGTAAACACAGAAAAGGGAGAGGATGAAAAAGGGTCCAGGGGCGTGGAAAAAGGAAATGCGAAATGGGACCCACCACCAGAAAACTTCAAGTGCTTAAATGCTGATGCAACTGTCAAACAAAATGATGCAAAAATAGGATGGGGAGTCGTGGCTAGATGCAAGAAAGGGAAGTTAAGGGAGCTTGGGCTGGTTGTGAAGGTAGAATTGGTGTTCCAGCTGTTGAGGAGGCGAGAGCAATTTGAAAAGCGCTTATGTTTGCCAAGATGAATGGATGGAGGAATATTCTAATCCAATCAAACTGCAAGAGAATTATTGATCAAATCAGAGAGGGAAACTTGAATGACCATTTAGCAGGTGCTGTCCTATTTGACATTCTTGTGCTTAGCAAGGACTTTAGTTCTTGTCTCTTCTCTTTTATTAAGAAGGAATGGAATAATGTGTGCCACCATTTGACAAAGTTTGCCTTAAATTTAGTTTCTGAGATAGCTTGGACGGATTCATTTCCAAGTTAGCTAATCAGTCTAGCCAAAGATGATGTAGGAGCTTTTGCTCTAGATTTGTAATGCTTTTGTTGAAGTAATGAATGCTTATATCGTTTGGGAAAAAAAAAGATAATAGGTATGGGGTTGGAGATTTTGGAATGAATTCTAAAATAGCAACTCTCAATTCTTGAGTAAATTGGTGGGTTTTGTTAATTCCTAAATTTGATTCCAAGATAATTTGTATAAAATATGTCTTTTGAATTCACCAACAAAAAATGACTATAGTAAATCACAATATTATTAAACGATAGACACAAAAATGAGAATTTCTAAAAATCAAGGACGTGGGCTACACAAATATGAAATCGCTAAAATAAAAAAGATGAGTTATTCATTATTTTGTTTCTGTCACTTAATTCATATGTTGTTTGTATAGGATTTCGTCTCCTCTTTTATGGCATCTAAAAACTTTCCCCTCATTGCCCTCACACACCATATGGACCTTGTTTGGCAAGTGAGTTTTTTGGGTGTTTGTCTAAAATTTTATTGTAATTTACTGTAAAAGTTTTTAAAAAAAATTTTGAAGTGTGTTTTGTTTTTAATATTTTGAAGTGTATAGTTTAAAATTTGGAAAAGTTTTTTAAGATTACTGTAACTAAAAATTTTTAAAAAACTTATAGCAGACAAACTTGATAAAAAATTTATCTGCCAAACAAGGATGCATGACATCTCAAAAACTTCCACCTTTCCTCTCACTATTATCACTCCTTCCTCACCCTCAAAATCCTAGCCCTAAGCCCCCAAACCAAATTTCATCCATCACACCAAGCTCTGCACATCCTCACCTCCAAGTCCAAAACAGTACCAAAAATTTACCATCACGATCTCAAGGGATTCAACATCAACTTGAGGAAAAAAAAAAACTGCGTCGGATTGTGTTAATGTCACCCCAGTCAAAATCCTTTAAATCTATTAGCCAAGCCATTGACAAGTTCTCAATTTGCATTGTATCAATTGACAAGAAAAAACGAGAAGGTGAAGTTGCTTCATCATTTGGGTTATGACTGGAAGTTGGAGAGAAATGAACAAAAAACAAAAAAACCAGGAGGTCTTGATTGGTATTGATTCTTTATATTTATTTCGTATCCGATTTCAATTCCGGAGGATGAACCAAGCACCCTTACTTTTAGGTCTTCCAATCCCATTGATCCTATTAAAGAGTAATTTGAGCACCACCTTACTTTTAGTTCTTCCAATCCCATAGAACCAATTAAAGAGTAAACTGGGCACTATCATACTCATTCCTGATGTGGCCCATCTCAAAATTAAAAAAAAAAAATCCAATTAAACCCAACACAATAAACAAGCTTAAGAAAGAAAAAACGCCATTCTTTTCATCTCCTGCCTCAAAATATTCATCTGTTCAATTACCTCTTCTTTATCAAACTTTTTTAAATTCTTGCTTTGGAGGTTCATAGAATATCTCGCAAAGAAGATGTAGAGACAAGAGAGAAACAGAAGAGGGAGAGATTTGTTTGCTGGTGTTCAAGAAAAGTTGAAAGGATTAAATCATGATGGAATTGAGAAAAAATGACCATGGTCAAAAGGAAGATGGAAAAGAGAAAGAAGTTCGATTTTATAACTATGATTGACTGAAGATCTAATTTTGATATTTTTTGCGAATTTTGGCTCATATTTAGTCTAACAATCTTTAGTTAATTGTTGCGGGTTTTGATGGTTTAGAGACATGGGCGGCTATCAAGAAAGTTTTAGACTTTTAGTCAATGTTTTGAAAATCGGACCGGATCGGCCGGTTGAACCACGAACCGGCCATGGCACCGGTCCGGTTCAATGCCATAGTTGACTTTGTCAGAAAACCGGTCAAGAACCGATCGAACCGTAAAAACTGCGATTGAACCGGTTTTCAACCTTCCTTTTTTTTTTTTTTTTTTTCCAAAATGCAGCTATCAAGATTTGAACTCAAGACCTTTGTAATAGAAGACCAATGTATTAACCGTTGCACCATCACATCTTATTAGTTTTATTTGATAACTTATTTATATAAAGCAAACACTTATATTTTTTTTTCCATTTTTCTTACAAAATCTCATTCTCTTATGGCTCTTTCTTTTTAATTTTCAACTCTCTCTCTCTCTCTCTCTCTCTCTCTCTATCCTCTTTTTTTTGTCACTCCCTTTTAATCAAATCTCTTTATTTTTAATTTATTGATGTTTTCTTCTATCTTTTAATTTTTGGTTTGTGTCCATTAAATTGAAAAAAGTTAAAAAAGAATTATTTTTTTAACCCAAATTATTTAATGCTACAACCACTCACTTTTATCTCATTTTTTGTTTCTTATCAAGTTTACATTTCTATTTTCGATTTTCTTGACTTCCTTCGAACTCCAAACTTCCTTTTTTAAATTGCAATTTCTAAAACGTAAATTAAAATTTAAGTTCACAATATCTAAATTCTCATAGACGTGAATTTTGTATAATTTTAAAATATTGTGATATTTTTGGATTGGATTTAGACATAATTGAAATCGAGATGAAATTTATTTGTTTTAACTTATAATTTAAAAAATTTATTTTTAAAAAATTCAAGTTATTAAAAAATAGTAAACCTTTCATCATATAATGTATTAAATTAATCCATTACATGTCTTATTTTGTACATATATATATTTATATAAAAAATTTATTGAACCGAGATTGAATCGGTCCGACCGATTGAACCTCGACCCTTTCACTTTCAATTAACGGTCCGGTTTTTAAAACATTGCTTTTAATAGCATGAGATGCCATGAATTGCTACTACAATTGGTGATGGAAAGCTTCAGACTTTCTAGACAGCAGAAAGGACGAAGACGATGGAAAGAGGGACCAAAGAAAGAAGAAAAGAATAACAAAATAGAGATGGTGATTCCATTCTAGCGCAGGGATCAAACATCAGTTTTAGGAAAAAATAAAAAATGTTGCTTAATTCATTATCATTGAAGGGGTATTGGATGGTGATTGGAATTGCCATTGCCTGGTAGTTTCAAAACTCGTGGTGCTTGGTGAAGCTTCTTGCTCTTTGGGGTACATAGACTGCGATGTGAGTAGTTTTTCTTTCACTTGGGAAGTTTCAGCTCAAGTTTCCTTTAACAATTTTGAGAGTGACCTTACTCAGCCTATAAATATAATAACGAACAGCAGAAAAGTCAAGAATTTTATAGTCTAAGAATCACCCGTGTCCCAAGAATATTCGTCCATCCAGCTGGCCGGGGGCCACAAAAATTCTGCCTCCATTTGTTTGTCGAAGATAGCAAGTAAACCTCCTTGACCAGTTTCGTGACCAGTTTGGATTCCAGTTTTCTTCTCTTTTTTTTTTCCCTGAATAGAAAAATGTACTGTAATAATTTGATATATGTAAAATAAAAAGTTAATTAAGAAATGTATGCATGAAAAGCGTAAAAAATTTTTGGTAAAAACTGCAATCCAAATATATACCACCAGTGTTGCAGATAACAATAAAACAAAGAAAGATGAAAAAGGCGGAAGCATACTCTCATAAACTACATTCCAATAGACATATTTCGTTTTTAGTACTCTTTCAGCCACAAAGCTGATTTACTTCCTTAAATAAGTATAAAAAAACACCTAAACCAATTGTTAGCATTGATTCTTGACTTTTGGTGCTGAAAAATAGAAGGGTAATATACGTTGGGGTTAAGCTTTATATTTATACTACACTTTTAGAAAATTTTGAGGTAAAAAATTTAGAAAAAAAGCTTATATTTATTTCATCTTCAATGCTATTTGTTGGACTGCTACCATCGCAATAAAACAAAATTTGTATTTTCACCGCGATTTATTCGCGCTGTTTTTATGAGACAAAGTAAATATGAGTTTTTTTTAATCATAGTGATAGCATTAAAGACGAAGCAAATATAAGCTTTTTTTTTAAAAAAAAATTTTATTTTTATCTCAAAATTTTCTAAGAATATAGTTTGCCCTCAAATTTTACTTAGAACATTATGTTAACCTTAGTTTGAATGGTGATTTTGTAATTTCATAATAATTTTATTTGAAAACTTCAATTATTCAAGTTCAACCATTATTAAATCTAACTGAAAATCTAACGGTTCTATTTAGATTACAACGATAAGGAGGTAAAGCATAGA